CCAAAAGCTTATTTACATTTACTTCCAACTCCTGACCTTTCTTGGATCATCACGACCAATTCTGTGGTGAATTTATGGGAGATGAGAAGTCTGCATTTAAGAATGCGTATATTTAAAACCAAAATTGAAAACATAAATGCTGGTTTAGCACAGTGAAGCTTCACTAATTCAGATTAATTTTTGGAAAGGTCTGAATTAGTGAAAAATCTAAATTATACCGCATTTTGTAAAGAAGTGCAGATGTAAAGTTTAACAACTTACAGAAACATAAGTAGGAGAAAGTTAACAAACATTTCCTTCATAAAGTTATTTTTAAAAAACAAATCAGAGGAACAATTTTTGATGTGCATACTAGTTGCTTTAGGTAAATGGATTCAGAAGCATTCAGAGTACCATACTTTGAAACAGTGAGCCTTTGATAAATATTTATTGAATGAACGCATACTATTTGCAAGCCACTGCATTAGGCGCTGGAAATATAAAAATTAGGAAGCTCTGGGCTCTTTATGACAGGACTTTGGTCTAGGAAAAGAGCATCATAGTTAGGCAGTTACAATGCAACCTGGTAAATAAAACTATAGAAGCAGAGAAATGTAGCATTTTAAAAAGGTACAATGAATTTCCTTAAGCATTTCATAAAATTTTGTTTACATAAAATTAAACATAAAATCACATAAAAACATAAAATATTTATTCATTTATGTGATAAAACTTTTGTGTCAGTTAATGTCTTGCTGAATTTATTACAAATGAGTAGAATGTGACTTAAAGATGGTTTACCATAGAACAATAAGAAAGAATGTGTTTGTCCATCTTCCCATTTTGTAAAGTGTACAGTTCAATGGTTTTTAGTGTCTTAGCACTGTTTTCTTTTATTTATTTTTTTTATTCTTATGTTAATCCCCATACATTACATCATTAGTTTTAGATGAAGTGTTCCATGATTCATTGTTTGTGCATAACACCCAGTGCTCCATGCAGAATGTTAGCACTGTTTTCTAAATCTTTCTCCATTGAATGATGTTGGTACCTTTGTTGAAAATCAATTGACTGAGACGTGGGTTTATTTCTGGACTCTGAAATTTATTCTGTTGATTTATCCTTATGGTAATACTGCACTGTCTTATTCACTGTAGCTTTATACTAAGTTTTTGAAATCAGGAAGTATGAGTCCTCCTACTTTGTTTTTCTTTTTTTTTTTTTTTAAGATTTATTTATTTGAGAGAGAGAGAGTGTGTGGGTGGGGGGAGGAGAAAGGCAGAGGGAGAGGGAGAGAGAGAATCTCAAGCAGACTCCCCACTGAGCTCGGACCTTGATGCAGAGCTCAATCCCACGACCCTGAGATCATGAGCTAAGCCAATACCAAGTGCTGAGCTACCAACTGAGCTACCCAGGCAACCCTACTCTGTTTTTCTTTAATAACATCTTTTGGCTATTCTGGGTTTCTTGAATTTCCATGTGAATTTTAGGATAAGTTTGTCAATATTTCTAAAACAGCCAGCTGGAATTTTGAGAAACTAAACTTTTTAAAATTTAATTAAAAAATTTATTATTTTAAGAAACTGAAAAATACTAAATGCCAAAGGAAATATTTAGAAATGCCCTGTGGTTTTATAGCACTAAACGACCTCGTTCATCCATTAATGAACTTCGGTAATGTAGCACAAGGTTGAGGCTTCTGCTCTAATTAGATGCACATCTTGGAGAAATCACTGGGCTTCTATGAACCTATCTAGTAATCTATTAAAAAATGAGATAAATTATGGGGTGCTTAGGTGGCTCAGTCAATTAAGCATCCAATTGTTGATTTTGGCTCAGGTTTGTGGGATTGAGCCCCATGTTGGGCTCCACACTGGGCATGGAGCCCATTTGGGATTCTCTCTCTTCTTCTCCCTCTGTTCCTCCCTCTTCCCCCTCCCCCGACCCCAGCTTGCATGCACTCACTCTCTCTTTCTAAAAAAAATGAGATGAACTGGACCACATTAAAGTAAGAACTAGACACTATTAGAAGGGTCAAAAGGCAAGTCACAACACGGCTCTCTGACTAAGGATTTGTATTCAGAATAATAAAGAAGTCAGTAAGAACAGGGCAGACCACCCAATAGAAAAGTGACTAAAGGTGCAGGTGCTTCACAAAAGAGGACATAGAAATTGAAAGATGCCCACCTGGAAGCCCCCAAAAGATATATTTTACTTTGTAAGCCCCAGAACTTGTGGACATCACCTTGCATGGCAAAAGATAGCTGGATGAGTCCTACTTGCAATCACACATGTCCTTGTAAGAGGGACACAGGGGGAGTTTTGACACAGACACACACACAGAAAAGGTGACCTGTAGACACAGGCAGAGGTTGGAGTGATGCAGCCACAAGCCAAGGAATGCCAACAGACACCAGAAGCTGGAAGAATCAAGGAATAGGTTTTCCCTAGAGCCTCCAGAGTGAGTACAGCTGTGCTGATCCTTGTGATTTAAGACTTCTGGCCTACAGAACTGTCATTGAAGAAATTTATGTTGTTTTAAGCCACGAAGACTGTGGCAATATGTTACAACTGCCATAGCAAATGAATAAACTGCCTTTATTCATTGCCAGGGATAAGTACATTAAAAGCACAATGCGAGGGCGCCTGGGTGGCTCAGATGGTTAAGCGTCTGCCTTCGGCTCAGGTCATGATCCCAGGGTCCTGGGATCGAGTCCCACATCGGGCTCCCTGCTCCTTGGGAGCCTGCTTCTCCCTCTGCCTCTCTCTCTCTCTCTCTGTCTCTCATGAATAAATAAATAAAATCTTAAAAAAAAAAAAAAAGCACAATGCGATACCTCTACTTGTCCCCAGAAAGCTAAGATGACCAAGAAAGATAATTTTCAGTGTTGGTGAGAATTCAGAATCCCTTGAACACCTATATATTGAGGGTGGAGTGCACATTACAACCCTTCGGCTAAACCGTGGGGGAGTATCTTCTGACATTGAATAGATGTTTATCCTACGATTCAAGCCCTTCCACTTACAGATAACATACCCAGGAGAATTGCATACTTTCACCCCAAATTATGAACATAAATATTCATAACACTATTTATAATTCCTTCAACTTGGAAGCAATTCAATGTCCATTAACAGTAAGGTGGGTAAAGACATGATGGGGTATTCAGACTACAGAATACTAAATCACGGGAATGAGTATCTACAGCTTCACAGAACAACAAGGATTAATCTCACAAACAATGGTGATGAAAGAGGCCAGATGCAAAAGAATATATACTGTGTGATTCCATTTATATAATATTTCAGAAACAGGCAAAACTAATTCATAGAGTTAGAAGTCAGGTTAATAGTTAACCTTTAAGAGGGATAATGACTGGGAGGAGGCATAAAGGGTTAGACCAATGAAAGTTTGTTTTAATAAAAGGAGATAAGATTTAAAAAAGGAGAAAAAATTAATAAAATCCATCCTAATTCATAGGGTTTGTCTCATCCATTTATTCAGTTACTTAACAAGCATTTATATTTTGCAAGCATCTGTTATTTGCTAGGAACCATTCAAATGCTAGGGTTATAGCAGTAGATATGACAAAGTATCCACCCTCATAGAGTTGACATTCTAGTAGTTTCCTCTCAAAATACCGGAGTACACTGTTACATTGTTGGCCCCTGATGATTCACACCTCATGACATTCACATCCTTGGGTAGTCCTTTCCCACATTCTGGATTTGATCATGTGATCTGCTTTAGCCAATGAGACAGGAGCAGGATGCAGGCAGAAGCTTTGAGAGGTGCTTGCACATTAAGGCTTCAGCTCTTGGAATGTTCCTTTGTGGGAGCCAGCTGCTCTGCCGTAGAGAAGTTTGGACTCCATGGCTAAATACTGAAAAGCCACATGGAGGAAGTGCCTGGAAGATGAGAGTCTGTCTTGGGCATTTCAGCCCCAACCAAGCTTGCAGCTCATCGAAACCACATAAGTGACCTCAGCTACATCATTCTGGCAGAGAAACCACCCAACTGAGCCCAGTCAGCCACAGACTTGTGAGAAATAATAAATTGTTGTTTTTTTTAAATCACTAAGTTTGGGGGTAGTTTGTTATACAGCATTTGATAACTGAAACAGATAAATGGGTGAATAAATAAATAAGGAATATAATTTCAGAGTGTACTTTGAGCTATAAAAAATTAAACAGGATAATGGTATGAAGAATGACAGGGAAAATTCAGAGAGGCTATTGTGTTCACCTGTAAGGTATTACCAGGGGGGCTCTATCCAGAAACCGAGGAATTCATTGTTTCTTGTTGAGAGTGTCAAATAGTGTGGAGATCAACAATAGAGAATAAACACTGGGATTTAGAAGAGCTGGATTGGAGTTTAGAATGCTTTTGACCTTGGGCAGAAAGAACACTGGTCTTTTGTGAGTTCCAGTTTCCTGATCTCTAATATGGGGATAATAACACTCATCTTGTCTACCTTCCAGGATTGCTGGAGAAGTTATACTCAGTAATGTTTGTGAAAGTACCCCGGTAATTTTAAATGTTATTTAAGTGAAAGCATTTGTATATAAAAAAGACATGTTGATCACCCGTTTGGTTTCTGAGGCTTCTGCTCTGTCCACAAGCTGATACATGCAAAATCAGTGAAATAAGCTTTATCACCATAACCACAACCCGTCTGCACATTTACTGGATGGTCTGTGTTACACATTAGCTTTTTGAATTTATTTAGCATCCATTTGGAGCATAGTTCTGCAGTTTTGAATAATCCACAAAGTTGTCACTGTTAATTTCTCTATCATAGTCTCTATGCTGATAACGAAGAAAAACACCAATGAATAGCCTTATTAGTGCAAAGAGTCACACAATCCAAAGCCTCTACCCCATTTGGACAAAACTTGACATACGTCATGTCACATTAATAAATACTGCATGTGCAAAGTATACCTTGTATTAACAGTAAATTCCCCATGGAAAATTGATTTGCTTTAAAATTTTAATCTACTTCTTTTTTCTTCTATAGATCCCAGTGAGGGCTTATCCCCCTTCCCTTTTCTTCCACAAAGAATGGAAGTTTGCATAAGAAGTGCATCATTCTCTAAACCAAACAGCAAAAAGAGAAACAAAATGCAGAAGAAAAAAGGTAAGGAGAAATGAAAGGAAAAAATAACAAATTGGTCATTAAAAGGAAAAAGATGCACAAGATAAAAGAGAGGGAGGCAAGCTGAGCATCCACTATATTGGGCTTCGGTGCAGATGTAAGTATAAAATGCTCCACAAGTCCTGTAATTGAGAAAATCTATCAAATGTCCTGACAGCTTCTCGGGCATTTCCAGAAGCGATAAAACTTGAATTTATTTCACTCCTAGAAAAGGGGGCAGTATCACCTTCTGGCGGCTTTAATGAAATGCCATAAAACTCGAGGAAAAACTGTGTTGTAAAGTCATAAAAAGGTAGTTGGAAGTGGATTGTTGGAAATGCTGCGGGAGGGGCTGCTGTGTCTGAAGAGTGACCGAAGGGGATCAGATGAGCAGGGGATCAGGGCTCCTGGACGTGGGAGGATGTGCCGGAACGTGCTGTGCGGTCTGTGGACTGTCCCTCCCGACACCTGCTCTCAGAACTTGGCTGTGGCTGCATGCTCGCTGACTTGGCCGGGGACACCGGGACTAATAAGCCCCTTTGGAGGCTCGCCTACTCCATTTGTATTGTGTGGAGGTGACCAGTAGGAGCACGCTCACCTGCATTTCTTCAGATAGAAATAGTATAGCTAACTGTAATGGGTCCTCCCCAACCCTAAGCTTACGTCTCCTGGCTGCAGATCTGCTGGGACAGGAGGCTCTAAAACCTACTGGTTCTGGGGGCAGGATTGAGAGCAAACACAACTGGACACTCACATTCTGCTCTAGAATTTGCTTCTTCAGGGCTTGCCTGGTACTTAACCTCCCAATTTCCTCTGGTCCTGGTTCTACTTTGGGATATCCATGGGTCTGCTTTTTCTCCCAGATGACGAGCAACCAAGAGGGCAAGGATTGTCTCGAAGTTTCTCTTTCATCCCTTTGGCACCTTGCCTCACATTTTGCACATAGTAGGAGCTCATGAGATTTTTTTTTAAAAGATTTTATTTATTCATTTGGCAGAGAGAGAGAGACAGCGAGAGAGGGAACACAAGCAGGGGGAGTGGGAGAGGGAGAAGCAGGCTTCCCACGGAGCAGGGAGTCTGATGTGGGGCTCGATCCCAGGACCCCGGGATCATGACCTGAGCCGAAGGCAGACGCTTAACAACTGAGCCACCCAGGCGCCCCTCATGAGATGTTTCCAAGGGGAATACGATCTCTTGAGAGCCTCTGGTTGTCCGGGAATGTCTTCTGTTATCCAGCTACTTCTATGATTGAATAATCACCCTTGGCGTCCTCCATAGAAACACTAGCTAAATTCATTTATTTAAGATTATAGTACACAGAGAAGTTACAAAGTATTTTACTTTATATTTTCAAAATCAGGTATGTTAATACAGTCACATTAGATCTCTATAAGGAATCCTATTTCAAAGAGAAATAAACAGAGGCCCCAAGTCTCACAGTGAATTTCTTTGGTCCATCAGGCTCTGTGCAAAGATTGTGAAGTTAAATTGTAAACTCTGAGAATAAGAGTCTTAAAGTGAGGGGTTTCTTTTAATTAATTAATTATTTATTTATTTTTAAAATTTTATTTTATTATGTTATGTTAGTCACCATACGTTACATCGTTAGTTTTTGATGTAGTGTTCCATGATTCATTGTTTGCATATAACACCCAGTGCTCCATGCAGAACGTGCCCTCTTTAATACCCATCACCAGGCTAACCCATCCTCCCACCCCTTCCCCTCTAGAACCCTCAGTTTGTTTCTCAGAGTCCATAGTCTCTCATGGTTCATCTCCCAAGTGAGGGGTTTCTATGTGAAGAAGATAAAGATAAGCCTCAGAGAGAATGGTACTCAAAAATGAGATGGTGAAGAGAAGGTATTCCGACTAGCAGCAGCTCTAAGGAAAATTTTAGCAGAGACCCTTTGAGATGGTCCTAATAAAAAAATTATAAAAACACAAACTAACTCACTAAATGAAAAATATTTTAAAAAATGGTGATCTCGGGACAGCGCAGGGAAGTGAGAGGATCAATAAGGTGAACGAACACAAAGAAAATAAAACTGAACCATGAAATCTGAAAGTGGGAATGAATATTGTTTTCCTTGGCAAACTGATGATCTTGGGCCTGTGGCATAAAGGGGAAATTTCTGCAGTATAGGTTTGATCAAAACCGTAGGTTAAAGGAATATCAGTAAGAATGTCAATCTGTGGAAAATCTTGTGAGCCCCATTATTGAGTTATGACTGTCACTTGAGCACTGTCTTCAATGGAACAGGATATAAATTTCCCCCAGGTGAGAGCGAGTGCTCGGAAGCCAACAAAGTTTAGCGATCATCCTTTCATTTTTCTACGCTCAAGTCCTTTGTCAGCTTCAGAATGAGGAAGTCAGCTATTAAATTAGAGATGAATTAATGCCAGACTCCAGATGTGGCTTCCTCACACTCTTGACTTTAGCCAGATGTGCCCAAGCCATGGCATTCATCATGATGAGTGTGAAGGTGTGGAAAGTGTCATACAACACACTGCCAGAATCCTGATCCCAGCGCAGTCACACAGGGAGTCACCCCTCCCAAGTGGAGAGTCACTGCTCAAGGGGCAAGGGGTAATAGTGAAGGCTCTTTAAAAAGCCTGTAAAAGGTAGTATCAATTTTATTTTTATGGATAATTGATCCTAGCTCTCAGTTCCAATGATCTCCATTAGGTCATTTAAAAAGCTCTTTGCCCAGCCATATTTAAGCAGACATGCCGGGTCCTGCGACTGTCCTGCCTCCTTGGTATACGATCTATCCTTACTTATTTGCTTTCTGTTTTGGGTTAAAGCTCTCCACTTCCCTCTACTCTCCTTTCACCCACCTTTGGTTGCTGGAAAGCTTGAATCAGCACCATTTCGGAACTATGCTGGGGGCAACGTGGAAGGACCTTAAATCTCAGCTAGGTTTTAGAGGACATTGAGGTTAGGTTAACTGAGGCTCACAATGGTGGTTGGGGGGCGTTGAGCAGGCTGGACTAAATTCTGACTGCAGGTAGAGGGGCACAAACGCACAGTTATCCTGGTCTAGGTGTGAGCTGGTCTCCAGGGTGATCCTAAGAAGTCACAGATTATCACCGTCCCACCGATTAGAATCTGCAAATCATCCACCTCTCACACCTGGAGATGAGACTGGGGAAAACTGAGGGGTGTGAGAGCCCAGAAGCTGCTGTCTGGACCTGTGTGAAAATGAGGGTGTGCTTTCAGTGGTCTCCTCGGAGCCGGCGGCCCACGCAGCTGGAACAGGTCTGTCAGGTGCGAGGCAAGTCATAGTCAGAATATGATTGGTAAGGACTGAGCTTGGTCCTGGATGCAGTTTAAGGGTCATATTTATCAGGAAGTTTTACTTAGAGCCATAAATTATCCTCTGCAAAATCTTTGCTCAAAGAGAGACTTCTTCATTGAATGAAATGATAATAAGTACCTGGATTGAATGGTCCCTTTTCACTTTAACTAAAACAAAATGGAGAAGGACAGCAAAAAAGGTCACATGCAGGTTCTAAGTGTTTTGTGGCATGGTAGGTCACTTCTAAAATTCCCCAGACGGGATGATGCCTTTTATTTGGGCAAGGATATTAGGATTATTTGGAAAGAATCTTTAGACTATTCTAACATTTCTAATTCGCATTCTACTGCTAATAAAAACCACACATTATTCTCTGAAATGTTTTCTATTACTATTCTTCACCTTGACCGTGTAGAGAAACTTCAGTCTCCTTTCATTCCTTCTAAAAGGCAGAGAGGGAAGGAGCGAAGGCGAGACAGAAAGACAGAGAGAGAGAGAGAGAGAGAGAGAGGGAATGGCAATGAGAATCATGAACAATTTTAGTTCCTTCGGAAGTCGAGGAGACATATTTTTCACATGTATTCTCTCAAATCCAGATTCCTGTAACAGATGCTCTCATCTCTCAAGCTCTTTTCATCTGTAATTCAATTTCCTTCTAAACGTGAGGCTGACATCTGTTGCAATGCAGATACGTACTCAAGTACCTGCAATTTCTCTGCCAAGCTCAGTGTCATGTTAAAGAACCGTGAACTTTGCAGGGCTGGCGGCAGAAAGAAATTTAATGTCTCTTTCATCGTTCTGATGCTTCAGCATCTTTTCCTCTGACACTGAGGCTCTCCTTAAAGGTTTTCAAGGGAACATAAAGTGTTTATTTAATAGTGCAATTGATTGTTTTAGTTTCACTTCTGGAGCGACCTGAAATCAGCACATGCTAAGATTTAGCAGGGAGGCAGAGACTGTGTCTTCAGATTCTCCCTAACAGGGTGGATTAGATAAATTACCACACAATTCTCTATAGTATTTTAAAAACAAAGACAAAGCACGGCATGTTGCATTTAAAGATGCTTATCTTTGTCCTCTTTCCTTTTTATTCCTTTCCCACAGCATTACTATAATGCAAGGCCGTTTGAGGCATGGATTGAGCTCCATCATTCCATCATTAATTAATTCATTAAATAAATATTTGTCAAGTCTCCGTTCTGAGACTGGCATTGTGCCAGGTGCTGGGGAGCGAAAAGTCGATATGATGCCGGATGCATTTTCAGGGAATTCCAGGAGTATTTTGTTTTAGAAAAAGTACAGAGCCTTCCCTAGCCTCCAAGGGGTGAATGAAGACAGAGTTTTGTGCCACAGGAAAATTTATCAGTTCTGCTAAGAATAACAAGCCCATTGCTGGGTGAAGCATTCTTTTTGCAGGGACATGTTTTTGAGCTTCATAGGAAGGTGGGAATCTCTGCTCAATGCCAGCAAATTTGGAGCTGATGGAGATGGGGAAGAGTGGAATACGCCTTCCCACCCTTTCTGCCTCTATCACTGCAGACAATCAGCTGAGATCTGAAGCATGACACTTGATTCCCCGTCATTTCTTTAGGTGGTTTTGCTGGGGCCATGTTAGAATCATGAGATCATTCAGGCCTCCAAAAATGTCTGTCACAACATTTAACCTGGATATCTTGTCTACTAATTACCATCATTTCAGTTTCTG